GCTTAAAAAAACGTACCAGGTATGGGTATACTCACATATGCATACTATGTTCATCCCCCCTTGATCCTGATGGCATAGAGAACTGGAGGGAAAAAATTACTGCCATAACTGGGCCCTATTGTGGGATGTGGGGCCATGTGTACACACATGTACTCACGGGTGCTCTCTCTTGTGAATGTGCCTGCTAGCACTGAAGGAAAAAAAAAAAAAAAAAAAAAAAAGCCACCTGTGGTGCAGTGGTTAAGAGAGCGGAATCTCACATGGTTGACCAAGTGGTTCAAACCTCAGCTTTGGTGACATGAGAAAAACACACACACACACACACACACACACACACACACACACACACAGGGCAGATGGGTTATGTGCCCAAATTCCCAATAAAATGGAAAAGGGATTATGGTGTTACCATGCCCCAATGGGGGATGTTTTCTCCCTCTTCTTCTGTGTCTCTCTGGTGAGCACACATGCTCTCTGGCAAAACTTTAAAAAATAAAAAAATTTTAAAAAGCCCTAACTGGGACCAGCAGTTAGCATAACGGCTATGCCGCTGGACTCCCATGTAGTCGACTACAGTTCGAGTCCTGGACCCAGTGACTTACAACTCATGCCGGGCGCATGTGCATGCATGCCCAAGATCCCGAGAGAATGGAGGAGAGGGGATTTGCGCTGTGGCCATCCCCCTTGGTGGAGGGGGGGTCTCGCTTTCTGTCTCTCTGTCTCTCTGTGTCTTTCTGGTGAGCACACACACCCTATAGCAAAAACCTCTCCAAAAATTTTTTTGAAAAGCCCTAACTGCCAAATCCATGATTACATCCTAGTCTCTCTTTCCCCAGATCCTTCTATAGCATTATTTATGCCCTTGTCTCATCACTCTTGGTCTAAGACACTGTTCTTATTCTCTCCCTTTGCTTGAGTTGCTCACTTCTCAGTCTCCTTCATGGGCTCATTTTTCTTGAGCTACCCTTAAAATAATTGGTATTCCCTAGGATGTGTCTCCTTAAATGACTTCACCTAAACCCATTGTTTCTCTTAAGACCTGCTTTCCTTAATATTCTGACAATCTCTGTCCAAGTCTCTATCCTTACCCTAGTCTTCTGTATGTTGAATTGATCGCCTAGAGACACTTCTAGGTATACCATTTTAGGATCCTGAAATCAACACATCTAAGCAGAATCATAATTTTACCCTCCCCTAGCCTTTTCTGTGTATTCCCATTCTTATCAAGAGGCATGCTTTGTGCTCTTTCTTCCCATTTGACTCTTTAATTTACCTTAAATGCTACTGTTTCAACCATTCAATGTTCACATCTCTAAGATAGCAAAGTATGCACAAGATGAAATTAATATCAAATTTTTTATTAGTACTTTATTAACCAAAAGTTATATATTACATAAAAAGGGTCTTCAAAAAGTTCACTGAAAATGTGTATTATGACAAAAACCATACATGGATTTGAAAATGTTTTGCTCAAAAATAAACTCATACTTTAAATCCAATTTCCCGTGAACTTTTTGAAGTATTCTCACAATTTCGTTTTGGAAAGGACCAGACTGCAAATAATTTGAGAAAACAAATACAAAATGAATTTCAGGCACTGTAATTGATGCTTGTCAAAACTACTTTACTGATACATTCACGATTAAAGTAAGATGTACGTTTGGACTTGCATACTTGAATTATTTTTAAAGGTAAAATTAATGAGCTTAAAATTATCTTAATGATAAGGTACATGTATACAAATGCATACTAGGAACAAAGGGAACTTCAGTAAGCTGTGGGAGTAACTGACCATTCTGGTTAGCGGAGAGCTATCAACATCACACATTAATTTTCAATTTTCAAAAAATAATTAGAAAAAAAATTAAGCTGGATGAAAAATGTGATATTTCATTATCTTACAGGATCATTATGGTCACTAATTATCGCTCTGGCTTGTCAAGATGTATTGGTCACATTAGCGGACTGGACATTAGCATTAATATAGTTGAGTGGATTGCTTTGTGTTCTACTAATGTTATTTTGACAGTGCCTTAAAAAACATGTATTTCACTTCATGTCAAAGTAACTTTCTCTATTCAACAGTTATCACTATCTGAAAAGGTCCCAAAGAGCTAATATTCACCTTTATAAAATATATTCCATCTAAAGGAAATTTTAAATATGTTTCTCAAATAAGCAATCCAAGTTCCAGAAACTGAGCAGAGAAATATCACAAGGCAAAGAAATGGAGGTGGGGGAGGAGAAGAGGAGGAGCAGTGAACTATGAGTCAAAAGATCCCAGAGATGTAAGGACAGTACCTGTCTAGGTTCCCAGTGTTCTCCCCTCTGGGCACCTAGCCTACCTAGGGTATTCTTGGCAGGCAAGCTTCCTCTCTGTGTGATCCCGGCCCCAGTCACATGTGGTCAGACCAGGGTGGGAAATATGAATCAAGATAAATACTCTTGTGTCAAGAATATAGAAAATGTAAGGGGAGAGAAGAAAGAAGGGGGGGGGATGTACACTGACTGGATGACTGGAATTGGAACATGTCAAAGAGCAGCCGTGGGTTCCCACTTCTGCCTGCCATGTGGACTGAGGATCAGAGAAAGGCAGTCAACTGAGAAAAAAGAATAAAGCCAAGACGAAAGAACAGGGAGTGTTCCTTAACACCTTCATTTTCCCACTCCCTAGACTCAGCTCTAAGCCTGCCCTTGGGTTTTGAAAGAAATCCTTACATTCTTAGAACAAGTTCCCATCGCTTTTTTCTACTACCTCAGATTGATATTTCCCTCCTTATAACCAAAGGCCCTGTTTTAGAATAGAAATAACTATACTTTAATTAAGTTACTCAAACTTTTTTTTTGCCTTGTCTCTCCATTTGTACAAATGAGAATACTAGATTCAATGAATTCTTAAATTTTAGTCACAAAATTCTCATTTATCCCACTTTTTTGTCTGATTTTATAGATGTTTAACACAATTACATAGATATGCAGAGTAAATATAGCTACTTTTAAAGTCTTAGCAATGAGTTTGCGAAGTTTACCTGAGTTGTGCTTTTTTATATCTAGGACATACACAGAGACTTCTTTCTCTATCTGAAAAAGCTTAGTGCATCTATCAATAAGACTAACAGTCTTGGAGCAGCAGCAGAAATTTACACTTTTATGGGAAGCATGTACCTAAGTAGAAAACACTGAACTAACTACTCAATGATCAACTCATCAACATGACATAGTCTCTAGACAGTAAGGTTGGAACTCGATTCTACTTCTTATCAGCTGTGACTGTGGGGCAAGCTACTTATCTTCTCTGTCCTTTAATGTCCTCGTCTGTTAAGTGGGGGCAGTAATATTAACAGAATCTACTTGATACAGTTGTTCTGAGAATTAAATGGGTTAACACACGTAAATCACTTAGAAAGGTACATGGCCCTTAAGTACACCTTAACGTTAAGGCTTATTATTATGCCCCTTCACTTGGTGCCACTAGCGCCAAAACAATAAACCTGACTCTTTAAGCTTGGAGTTAAATAATAAACCTTGACCCGGTTAACTTCAAAGAAATCCTTTTCCTTAGCAACAGCACTTCTAACCCCAGCTCACCTTCTTACAGTCTTTCAGGTCTGAGACCAACTATGACTTGATAGATGAAGACACTAAGACCCACAACTGAATGGAATTTTTCATTCAAGGCCATACAACTATTTAGAAATAGAGTTAAGGCTACTGATTCACACACACACACACACACACACACACACACAAAATGATATGATTGGAAAGTGCAAAACCTTTGAAATCGGAGAGTACTTACCACCTGTGTAACCCAGAGAAATTTTGTTAACTCTTAGTTTCCTTCCATGTTAGGAATGATAATACTAACCTTATTCTGACTTCCCTCATCCAACTCTTGCCTAATGCTCCTTATCAACCACAAGACCATAGGGGCTCAAGGCCCTTAATCTCCTCTGTACAGACCCCACCTCCCCAGGGTTTGTCACAATGTAGATGTGTAAGAGATAAGACCAGTAGTCAGCACTGGACTTCATTTTGCAATGGCATTGTTTTTGTATTTTTTTCTCATAAGACAAGTATAAGTTTTTATCTTTACTAATGGGCTTCTTAGGCTTTGTGACTTAACCAGAACACATAGCTACTCTTCATATCTGTTTTATTCAATATGGAAACCACTAGCCATGGGGCTACTGAGCACTTGAAATGGGGCTAGTCCAAACTGAAATGTGCCTTAAATATAAAATGAACACCAGATTTTGAAGTTTTAGTGCCCCCTTCAAAAAAATAATGTAGGGACCAGCAGCTAGTGTAATGGCTATGTCGCTGGACCCCCACGTAGTCGACCGCAGTTTGAGTCCCGAACCCAGTGGCTTAAAACTCACGCCGAGCACGTGTGCGTGCGTGCCTAAGATCCCAAGAGGAGAATGGAGGAGAAGGGATTGCGGTGTAGCCATCCCTCCTGGAGGGTGATTTCCTGTTTTCTGTCTCTGTCTGTCTGGCGAGTGCACGCGCCCTATAGAAAAAACCTCTTCAAAAAAATAATAATGTAAAATGTCTCATATAAATATCCATACTGATGACACATTGAAATAGTACTTTGGGTATTCTAGATTAAATAAACTATATTAAAATTAATCTCACCTGTTTCTTTTTACCTTTTTTAAGCTTATTTATTGAGAGAGGGACAGACAGGCAGGTAGGCAGATAGGCAGACAGATACCCTTAACAGGGTCTTGTCCAAGCTGCAATTTCCTTTCCCTAGCCCTTCAGATCATCAGGCTCTCAAGCCAACTGGAGAACTGAACTCAGTTGGCCATGTGGCTTCCCACACCACAGTTCAATATGGCACAACCTGTGCCACTGAGGCTGGATGTCTTTTACCTTTTTTTAAACTGTGGACATGAAAACATTTAAAATTACGTGTGTGGCTTGCACTATATTCTGTTGGATAGTATATATCTATAACATCAATGTTTAAGGCATTGAATAACCAAACTTACAAATGAACATGTGAAACAAAACCAACTTGTTCACAATCCGTACCTTGGACACTACGAAGAAAAGAAAAAAAGACTTAGAATCAATGAGGCTTAAATTAAAACAAAACCAAAACCACAATGCAAAAACATACACATAAATAAAATTTTTAAATAAGTAGAAAAAGAAAAATGTAAGAATAAGAAAAATAATATAAAATCTTATGCCTATGAATTCTCTAAACACAGATTTGAGCAATTCAAGAAATTAATAATTATAAGAGCTAATACTCATAAAACCAACACAAAGCTCAAATGAGAACTCTATAAATTAATAATGACTGGGGAAAATACATAAGGGGCTTTAAGAAAAAATATTTACTGACTTACGAAATGGTTGATAAGATTAAGGAAAATTATGGCTTATAAACCTATATTTGTATATATTCTATACTTGGGCTTTAGAATTTCAAATGGTAGGATTTTTTTCCAAAAGGGGAACAAACCTAAATGAGACTAAATGACAAGACATACTTATCCTACTAGGAAAGAAATACTGAAGTGTGTGTATTGTTCCATTAAACCTGGCACTGAATAAAAAAAAAAAAAAGCCTCACATTTCTGTCCTTAAGAATGGTTAGTATAGTGATTCTTGAAGTATGGTTCAGAGACAACTGGGTCTCAGTCCCCTTAAATCTTCCCAAGTATCACAATATCTCAAAATTTTTAAAAATGGTGTCTTTTTCACTTTTATTCTGTTTTCATTTTTTTACATAATGTGTGTGATATTGCAATTGACTGAATGCAGAAGCCAATGAGAAGCCCATTATCTTTTATTAAGCCAGACACCGAGGAATTTAATGAAAATGTCAAACAATGCCATTCCTCTGACCAAGTTCTTAATTATTCTGGAAAAGTTATTTTTCATAAAATGTTACCTAGGAGGACCAGCAGTTGGCTTAATGGCTATGTCACTGGACTCCCATGTAGTCCATCACGGTTCAAGTCTTGGACCCAGTGGCCTAAACTCACACCAGGTGCGTGTGCGTGCATGCCCAAGATCCCGGGAGGAGAATGGAGAAGGGATTGCAGCGTGACCATCCTCCCTGGGGGGTGATTTCTCGCTTTCTGTCTCTCTGTCTTTCTGGTGAGCGCACATGCCCTATAGCAAAAACCTCTCCAAAAAAATGTTATTTAGGTTATCATTTACTGGAATTTTTTTTTAATGACAAATAAGTACTTTTAATTTTTAAAATTATTTTGAGGTTTTTGCCTTAAGCTATGTTTGCCTGGGAAGGTGAAGTCACCCCCTCAGAGGGGATGGCCATGGTGCAGTTCCTTCTCCATTTTCCTCCTGGGATCTTGGGCACATACGTACACGTGCCTGGCATGAGTATCAATCTACCAAGTCCAGGACTCATGAGCATAAATCTACCAGGTGTGGGACTTGAACCGCGGTATGCCATGGGGGAGTCCAGCAATGTAACCACTATGCCATCTGCTGGTCCCACAAATAAGTATTTTTTTAAAAAGTCCCTGTTTCAGGGGACCAGCAGTTAGCATAATGGCTATGTCGCTGGACTTCCACGTAGTCGACTGCGGTTCGCATCCCGGACCCGGTGGCTTAAAACTCATACCGGGCGCAGGGCGCTTGTGCGTGCGTGCCCAAGACCCCGGGAGGAGAAGGGACTGCGGCGTGGCCATCCCCCATGTGGGGTGATTTCTCGCTTTCTGTCTCTCTGTCTCTCTCTGTCTGGCGAGCGCATGCGCCCTATAGCAAAAACCTCTCA